CAGCCGTTTCGCCCTTCAGGTTGACGGGGGCTTGCAAGTCACTGTCATGGCTAGCATTTCCCCATGCAAACAACTTTATGGCATTTGGAAGGGATTATTCTTATTTACTTATTTATTTATTTTTTTTGGACTGATTGCCCACTCTACCGCTTCATTTCGGCACCCATTCGAGACTCGTGGAACCTTTGCACAAAGCATCAAGAGCTTCTGTCGTGGTGCAAAGACACCGACAGCTTGAAGTGTCACTGAAGCCGGTGACTGGTAGCGAGATTGAAATTTTGAGGAAATTTTGTTCAACAAATTGAATTTCAAGTTTGACTGACTTGTGAGGATTTTGAAACAGAAAGAGGGGAAAAAGTGAAGACCACAAACATCACCACCAATCACTGATGTGTCTTTCTGTTCTGTTCTGTCGCACTACCACAATGCTGAAAACTTAATTAATTTCGTGCGACTGAAAGAAAAAAAAAATGAAAGAGTGTGGAGACCTCTCATGATTGACGTGATAGACTAACTAAACATAACCCGAAAACTGTCTTGCTTTGGAAAAAAAGGAATGATGTTGATGAAGGAGTGTCGAACAATGGAAGTTGGAGGTAAACAGACATCGAAGTTGTCTCCTCACAAAACCGATAAAAATTAGGTCGAAGTGTAGAGGGCAACGCCCTGACAACAGTTTACTCGATTGACCGCATTGACAACATCTGTAGTCACAGACTGACACATGCATGAAGGCTTCAAAAGTAGAAGTCGACTGACTCCGTTTGACAGGCTGAACTTGCTGACTTCAAAATTCACCCACAAGTCGACTTTTTGAAAATAACAGATTCGGAAGGTGAATTGGGGAGTTACCCAAGGAGACATAAAACTTTAAACATTCAACCGTCTTCAGGTAGTAGGAAACCGTGAATTCAAGGATTGACAATGAAAGGATCTCCACAAGACTCGAAGGTGCTTCAAAGCACAAAACCCTCCCCAAGGCGATGCGTGTACCAACTTCTTCCTTTTCATCCCAATTTCAAAATATTGCAAAGTTGTGAAATAAAGAGTAATTTAAGTAGTCAAACAAATCTTTACCATGTCATGAGTGTCATACAAAAAACCAAAAAAAAAACAACTTACAAAATAACAGGAATCCAAAATGCGGAAAAATCCATCTGGACATTCCTTTGGTTGTGAGGAGACAAGGATCCCCATGAAAAGAACTGCAAAGTACAAAAAATGGTGAAAAATAACTTTGACATTTGACCAGAGGGTGGCAAGTCCGACTCGCCAATTCGCAACAAATTAAACAACCGATGGAGTGGGAGAAAAATTAGCGCTTAAAAAAGGCCAAATTCCTTTCGACTATTACATGGAGTGGAATGAGAGGAGATAAAACGAAAAGTTTCCTGACAATAGGAAAACAGTAATTTTGGTGCCTCTGTGAGTAATGGAGAGGGAGCCACTTAATCCTCCTTTGTCAATTCCCCCAGCAGTCAACCAACAGGACACCTCCACAATTGCTAATGCTTTCGCGTCGGTGTCACTATCAGCGCCATTGTTCTGCCCTTTTTTTGTTTGATACCTTCATGTGAACTTTCAAAGTGGCTTTTCTGAGTCTCTCCCTGCATTCATACGTTGGCGTGTGTCCACGAGTGAGCGGACTCGGTGCAGCCACTTCACACCGACCCAACGCATGCACAAAAAAAAAAACACGTATTCCAAGGCACTGGTTAGTGGTCAAAACACCTCTCCCCTCGTCAACAATGACGACATGCCTGGAATGCAGCCCAACCTTGAAATGCCTTAAAGCCAGAGGGCAGCATTCCGTTTACTTCTGTGTGTATGTGTATATAAATATATATCATGTACTTCCATGTTACACGAATGCAATTAATCAAGTTTCACCTCATCCCCTCACAAATATCCTCCCTCACGCATCATAAACAATGTCATTTCAGCGAGCAGGAGAGAAATAAATGAAGTCACCTTCTAAGACGAATAGGAGGCTTTGTAAAACCACCCCAAGAAGTA